TAGATGTATAATTTTCTGGTTCGAGCATCCATACCTTTCATTAGCGTCTCTGAACTTTCTAAAGTCATTGGTTTAAAGAGATCAAAAATAGCTTTTTTTAAAAAACAGTTGGTTCAGAAGTTTAACATACTTGAGGAATTTTGAAGACTAGTTTTACAATTGGAGCAATTATAAGGAAACAGGATTATAGACATTATTTAGCAATTCACATTAAGGCTTGTTTTTGTCTCAAAAACTTCCCTCATCATTATATTCTTCTGTCTCAGTCATCCTACTGACATGTTCTTTATCAAAATGGTGCTCCCATATCATACCACCATACTACATTAGTTAAAATCAGTTCTAAGTATTATTTTTTTACCTCATATCTGTCAACGATTAGGGTATCTAAAACAATTTCTGGTCTTGAGATTATGGTAAGAAAGGAAATTATGTAGATAAAATCTCAAACTTGTTATTGATCAGTATGTATGTATTTCCCAAGCCAAGAAAAAAGGATTTTATTAAAACAAACACTTGACTTTTGATGTTTGAAAGGAAAAAATAATTTCTTCCTTGAATATGATGCTTTTTTTGATACATTTTTGAAGTTGTTGGGTTTTATTTTAGAGATCTCAAAGATCATGGTGTCGTAATTCCAAACATGAATTTAATATAACTCTATCTCTTAGAAACAGATTTTAAGGCATGGCAGTTGTTTGCTGTTATCTTTTCATATAATGTAGGGCAGCAATCCCCAACCTTTTGGAACCCGGTATCAGTTTTGTGGAATACAATTTTTCCATGGACTGTGGTGGAAAAAAGGATGGTTTGGGAATGATTCGAGCACCTCACCTTTATTGTGCACTTTATTTCTATTATTATTATATTGTAATATATAATAAAATAATTATACAATTCACCATAATGCAAAATAAGTGGGATCCCTGAACTTGTTTTTCTGCAACCAGATGGTCCCATCTAGGTGTGACAGGAGACAGTGACACCCAAAGTGTGTTGCTTAGACATTCTACTCCATGATCTCATTTTGCTTGCTATCACTTCAGAAAACCTTGCTTCCCAAAGATGGGATGTTAGAAATGGAAGCAGACTTTTCAGTGCTTTTGTGGCAATCTCAGGATATTCTGCCTTGACTTTATTCTGGAACGTATGGAGATTTGAAGTTGTCTTAACATACTTTTAAAGCCACCATCATTTGCAATCTCAAGCAGTTGATAGTCTTCTAGCATGGACAAAGTCGATTCACCTGAAATGGGTCATAGATCCATTCTTTTCCAGTTTAGGGGTCTTTTGTAGTTGAGAAGTAATGCTGCAACTCTTTTGAAAGCTGAGATAGGTGATCATGCACCAGCTGAGAGGAAGAAGGCCCTGGCTCAGTCGCTTTCAAAATCTCTGCTAATGTTTGGAACATGCAGAAAGCTTGGTCTCCATGTGAAAGCAGTTTTGAAGGTTTCATGGTTTTGTTAGATTGCTGGTCACCACATATTATACAAAGTGAGCTTGGAGAATGGGAATCACCTGTTGCAATGAACCTGTAATTTAAGTAGTACTCTTGATATTTTCTTTGAAATACAGTTATCTTTTTGTTGGCAGTCTTAGAGTTTTCAGCTGTCATATCATTGGGTCTTTCTCCCTTTTCAAAGAAGCTCTCCAGTGACATTTGTGTTTTACTCATTTTGGCTAGGGTTAGCTTGTGGGTTTACCAAAACCGTGACTGAGACAAATGCACAGTGCAGGAAAGAGATGCAGACGGGCATGGTAAATAAAATAATGGGTGGACCACTCTCATACTAAAATAAGTGTCAGATTCTAACTTAAAACCTGCCACCAGATGCCACTGTACAATTGAAGCACATCAACTCACTTGCTACTCACTGATAGGGTTTTGATATGAGTCTGGAAGCAATTGATTTATGGTGGTTTCTGTGTGGTCAAACCTCACTGCTGATGTTAATCTGTATTTGCAGCTGTTCCCTAGCACTAGTATCACTGACTCAGCTCCACCTCAGATCATCAGATATTAGATTATCATAAGGAGCATGCAGTCTAGACTCCTCCCATGTGCTGTTCACAATAGGGTTTGCGCTTTTCTGAGAATCTACTGCCACTGCTGATCTGAGAGAAGGTAGAGCTCAGGCAATAATGTGAGCGATGATGAAGAGGTTATAAGTACAGATGAAGCTTTGCATACCTACCCACTGCTCACCCCTGCTGTGTGGCCCAGTTCCTTACAGACCATGGACTGGTACCAGTTTGTGGCCTGGGGTTTGGGGTCCCCTGCCTAGGGACTGTCAGTCAAATCTTAAACCAGGGATCTTCAGGAAGCAATGATAGTCCAGAAATCAGCCCATATGCCAACCTTTATATCTATCAAGTTTTCTTTAAATATGTTTGCAGGTGAAATATGGTCTTCTTTCTTAGGCAGTTTAGTTAGTTAAAAAATATTTTGTGAGTGCCTATTATGTGTGAGACTTTGCAATGCTTTAAGGAATACAATAATGAAATAACAACAAGAAACAAGAAACAGTGAAAGAGAAACTTGGGAAAAAGTGCATGATTTTGTTAATTAAATTACACACAGATAATTTAAAAACTTACAAATCTGATAAGTAAATGAATATATATTTATATATGAATGTCTATGTCTGTCTATCTATCTATCTATCTATCTATCTATCTATCTATCTATCTATCTATCTGTGAGACTTCCATTCATTGCAAGGGATGTGAAATTTTTACTTTCAGTGTAGTTTTTTTTCATATTTTTTAACACTAATCATTAAACACATTTTAAATGATCTCTTGTTTTCTCTAAACTAATGTGGAATCTATCAGTTTTTTTTTGTTTTTGTTTTTGTTTTTGAGTTGGAGTCTCACTTGGTCGCCCAGACTGGAGTGCAGTGGCCGCTCCCGGCCACCGCAACCTCGCCTGCTGGGCTCCAGCGATCCTTCCTCTTCAGCCTTCCGAGTAGCCGGAATTACAGGCACGCGCTAACCATGCCCGACTGATTTTTTGATTTATTGTAGAGATGAGGTCTCGCTGCCCAGGTGGGTCTCGAACCCGCGGGCTCAGGCAATCCACTCACCTCAGCAAGAGTATCAAATTCTGGAACTATGTTTATAAATATAAGTAGAATTAATATCAACTCTATTAACCCAGGCAGTGGAATAAGGCCAGAATCTAGCAAATCAGTAATAATTGATAAAATCTTATCTCCTGCTACATTGGTAGTATCAGAAACACTTCGCCGATAACTTATTAAAAAGCAGTTAAACAGTTATTAGGATCATATTAGTTACTAAAATTATTAGAATTGTTATTGTTTACCTATCTTGAGAAAAAGTACTATAAGTGTAGTGAATATTATCACGTTTATAACAAAGAAAAAGTTATACTCAGTGGACTAAGTTGAATAAGGAGGCACGTAGAAAGATATATACTTATGAATTATTCTCACAGATGTTCAGTTGAAAGAATTCCTGGAGCAGCATAATATAGTGGAAAGAGAGTAGTATTTAAAAGATTTGGATTGAAGGTTAATGTTATCATTTATCATTAGAATAACTGTATGTTCATGTTTTGGGGGGACAGTCAGTTTACGTCTGCTTTGTTGACACAATGAATAGTACTATCCTCTTTCATTCTTAAAATTGTGTTGATTTAGACAATAAATTAAGTGGTTCCCTCTTATTTATTGTGACAAGTAACTCTGTTTTCATGGGAATAAATTTTGTATGTTATAATTAGATTATAAGATTGTTGTAATAGCTGAAAAATATATATATACAAGAAAGATTCTTGTAAAATCTGAAAATTATTATAAGAACCATAAAGAGATATATGAATATTTGTGTATTCATTTGGGCAAAGTCTTTAAGGTGATTATATAAAAGAAAAAAAGTCTTATTTTAATCATATCATTCTTGAACAACTTGGTATTACTCTTTTTGATTAGTTGTGTATTGCCCATTCTCTCAAAGTTGTGTTGTGTTGAAATCAACTCACAGACCATGACTACAAAGAAATGTTGAAGCCTCAACTTGTGATAAGGATAAAGGATGTATTTCATTTAATGAAAAATTCAATGCATTTACTAAACTGAATGAGGAAATGGGGTCAAGTATCTTCAAGAGGTACTTGCATGTCCTGCTTTTGTTAGCTTTTGAAAATGATAATAATTTTATTATTGCTTTGTCATTATCAGCAATGAATGTTAATGCTTTTCCCTACTAATTTGATCTTAAGTGTGCAACTCTCAAACAGTGCACTTTCATGTGACTGTGTTCCTGAATTCCATTTTATTTCAGATGACCCATTCAATCTCTATAAAATGATTGCACTTTAGCTTTTTAAATTTCTTCCTGGAAAGTTGTGAAAGGACTTGTATTAATTTGAAACAAATGAAAACAAAACCAATTTTTAACATTAGCAGATAACTTCTAGGTCCCTTTACCAATAGGAAGAAGAAACTAATTCTGCCTAAATCTGAGAAGGTATACTGGCCACCAGGAGGACTACAGAAATTTGACATACAGGAGTCAGCTCATCATATAGAACTTTAAAAAGTATAAATTCTCAGACAAGATGTTAAGGGACAGTAATTGCTATTCTACAGGGCTATTGAAAGCATTCAATTAATACTGCATATGAAAACATCGGGCTAGTAACCTGTGTCTTTGAGTAGGTACTCAGTAGGTACTAGTTGAATGAATGAGCTGGGAAGATCTGGGAAGAATGAAGAGTCAAGGGGATGAATCCCCCCAAATAATGCTCTTTCTTTTATTTTTTTCTATGCCAGCCAAGACCCTCCCCTTAAAAATTAGTACAAATGACCATAAATAAAAGTTCATTTGACTGACTCAGATTACAAGTTTATGTGTCTTTTCAATCATTCAAATTTTTATTACTTCCAAAATCTAAAATTGAACATTCTGAACCACCTAGATTAGGATTTGAGGTCACCAAAAGACTCAATTTTACTATCTCCATCTACTGGCAGGGAGGAACTATACCCAAGCATCTGGACTGGCATAGAAAAGAGGAGAAAGAACATTTAAAAGGTAAGCAGAACATATATTTTTATTTACTCTGAATTTTTAAACTTTTCTTATCATACACTCTATCATATGCTCATGCAAATTAATTAAGGTTGATAGAATGAACCATCTTAAAGCAGGATAATTTTTTTTAGGTGGTATGTAGTACTCTTATCTGATGTTTCACCATGAACATGTGTGGACTTGAAAGCCTTTCTCTCATTGGGGAAACTTTTCTGTCCTTCCACCTCTAAATTTCTGTCTAGTCATTTCAATGCTCCTGTGCTGTCCTCATATTCCTGATAATCTTTAAATTGCAGTGTGCTTACTGAAATGTCTATATTCTCATTTCTGTGTATTCTCTGACATGTCAAAGATAATTTTACCTGGCAAATATATTTTGACTGCTGTGATTTAGAGAGAGTAGAAGTATGTTTTTCAAGATGTAATTTTTATTCTGGTGTTTGTTAGATGTTTTTAATCCTTCATTTATAAGTAGTTTGAATAAAAATTTCTTGTTAATTTATGAATAAAAATTGTAATGCATATTTATATCAATTGTTTTTCAATTTTGCTTCTCCATCAGAAATCTTGAAATTGTATTGGCTTACTTTTAATGAGAGTATAACATTGCAATCAAACTTTGCAGTATGATAACTGCTATGAAATAAATACTTTGATGGTTTGTGTGGTGTCAGTAATAGAACTGTGTAAATTTAAATTATGTATTTTTATTAAGTATTGTTGTTAAGTCTTATATTATGCACATCTTTCTTTAAAAAGCCCCACCTCAACTTAAGATCAGGAGTAACAGCTATTTACCAAGATAATTAGTATTATTACAATTGCTGCAGTTAAATTAAGCATAATTTATACTTTTTTCCCAGTTAGTTTTCTCCTGTCCTTTCTCATCCCAAGTATTTTTCCACATCTTTGTTTTATTTCTTTGCACAATGTTGCATTTCTTTCAGAAGAGGAATAGATGAATTTATAAGGAGCATGGGTGGAGAGTTTTCAGCTTCAATATTAGATTTCATGGGCAAGAGTTTTCAAGGAAATGCTGTTCAGACAGGTCTGTTCACTGGCTGGGAGGTCATGAATGCAGCCGGTCTGTTTGCTAGCTAGGAGTATACAAATATAAGCAGTGCAAATGTTATAAAGAGGGATTCTCAAACCTTTTTGTGGCATCTGACAGTGTCCAATCTGGTAAACTTATGCTCAGAGACTGCCCTGAGATCAGAAAATAAGGAAGGAGGTTTTGAATAATGTTGAAAGAACTAGTGGTAAGAGTGTTAGAATGATCTCATTTTACAAATGGAACTTCTAGTGAACTTCATGAAGTCAATCCAATTCCTGCTTTGATTAGAGATATGTGTCTTCTTGAATCTCTCTCATCCTCTGTTTCAACTCCTCTTTTTAGTCTTCTTGTACCTTGATATTTGGATTGATTTTAAAGCTGTCATAATAAAGCAAGTTGTTCCTGAAGAATGGTTATATTCAAGCCAATTAATTCTAGACTATAAGATACTGAAAATCTTAATGTTTATGCTTATTCACTCTTTTATTTTAGACCATATAGAAGATAAAAGTAATGTAAGCTGATGGAATAATAACACAATTGGGTATTCTCCTTAGTATTAAAAATATTTTTACTTTACCAAATAAAATTTAAGCAACCTATGTTCCCACAAAACTACACAAATTTTATTAGTAATCCATAGTTTTTCTTTCCTTAAAACAACCCTAATGTTCTTATTTTTTTAATGTGTCTGCATTGCTTTAAGACTGACAAGATTTGTTAATGGTAGAGTATGAGGAGGGGATGTAATGTTTTCCATCAGGGCAGAATGGTCGGAATATTCATGAGTATATTTTATTTAAACTCAGCCTATGAGGGGCAGTCATGTTCCAAGAAAATTGTTCTTTATTTGCCCACACATAGTCATGTTGAATTAATAATGAATCCAAAGATCTTCCTACAAATGTAACTTATAAGTCTTAAAATTGCTTATGGAAACTCCAGCATTTTCTCACTTATTGATATTGTTTAATAACATAAAAAACATAAGATTGGAGGACATAGTTTATATAGAAGTGAAAATTCATTATTGTTTGTGCCTTTGGTTCATAAGGAAGTCATAGGCTCATTATATACACATTGTATGTAGTCACCTGTGAACAGAAAACAACTAAATATAACAAGAGACAGTAAAATCTCATTTTTAGCATTAATGCACTAGACAGAATATATTAAGACTAAAATAAATCTATTTATATTTTGTTTATTAGAGTTCACTTATTTTGCCTAATTTAGAGCTTAAACTAAGAGAATTTTAAGCATCTTTTAAATAATCATTAAAGGTATAAATGGATGGGCTTATTTGAATTTTTTCTACAAAAGAATAAGTTAATATTTATTACCTTTTCATTCTTATTTTCATTTATAAATTTTCAACATCTTTCTGTCAAAATGTCAGTGACATTGTTGGCTTACAAAATGGTGGGTAGCTACCGTTCATATTTAAAATTGCTGGTAAATTCTAGTCTGAATGTTGTAAATGATGTGTTCAAGGCACATAGAAAATTCATAGATGCTGAGTCTCGAAAATAGATGAGGTTCTTTGTTGAAAATATTCCTTTTAAACTTGTCTGTTTGTTTAAAGGGTATATAATGTGCATTTGTGCATAATCAAGCTAGCCAGTTTTTGCCATCACAATATTGTTAGGTGTAAATGTATTTTGTTACTTTAAATATTATACAACCCCTAATATTGTTATGTAAACTTTCTACATTCAGTAAATTTGTAATTCAATAGGAGAGTTGATTATATATTGAAAACCATCAGTAGTGAGTAATCATTAAGGTGAATGCTTATTGTAATATGAATTACTCTTAATTTTTCTCTCTTCTGCATCTGCCTCTTTGTGGTGTCTAAAGTAATGTACACTTTAACAGAATAAAAAATAATAGCATGGCCTAAACACGATTTACTATAGTGGAGAATGTAAGTGTATCTGTGTGTAATTATATTCATTACTAATTGATATGTAATAAAAGTTTTGAGGAGATTCTGTGTGTATATACTTGGCTACTTATCCTGAGCCATCATGGTTAATATTATTCCTAATTTATCTTCCATAATTGAACCTTTGTTTTAAAAAGTCAAATTTCATTGTATAAAACAAAAATATTTTTACCATTATCTTAAGGCTAATATACTATATAGTCAAGTCATTACCATTCCCATATCACATGTCTCAATACCAGAAGAATCTTGTAGATCTTCTTGCAGCTCTTTTTGATGCCAATTGGATATTTTCAAGGGCAAAATAGGTGACACTAATATTAATAATCACACCATGTAAATGCAAACACATATTCACTATGAATGATTTTTGTTGCAAGTATAAAAATTTCTAACTTGAATTGACTTAAATATTAAAAATGATGTATTTGTTCACATAAATGAGAAGCCTAGAGTTGGGGTCAGTTTATTATATAATTTAAGCTAGAATCTAGCTGCATTTTTTTATACTGTCATGTATCTGTCCACTTGTGTGTACCTTTGCATGAGACTTGTTTCCCTTATGATAGCTAAATGACGAGGGTAGTTCTAAATTCTACCGACACACACAAAATCGTCTCATCCCAACAGCTGAGAAAAAGCCATTCTATTTATTCTATTGGACCATTAGAGCAATCCACGCAGTGAGAAAAATGGACTTATAAAGATTTTCCAAGTCTACTTCTGGGAAGAATGAATCCAACTTTTATCCAGTGGCTACTTTGTAGTGGTGAAGGGGTTTCTCAGTATAGTAACTTTCCCTTATTGCGTATGGAAGATTTGCTATGCGCTTTCTGAAACAGGCTCCCATTTCTTACCATTGTTCGTAGATAGAGAAGGGGCTAACAGCCAGATTCTTGCCCTTTGCATTAGATTCATGAAAATTTCAAAACTTTTAAAAAGATAGCATCTGGTCAAAGAAATGGTAAAATTCTATAAAGTTTTCATTTTTTCCTCTCTTTTTAATCAAGCTGCAGAAGGTAATTGGAAATATAAAACCACTGCCTAAAAATAACTACTTCTTGCTTAATCAATTTGACCTTTGTGAAATCAAAATCCTTATACTTTTGACCAATTGTGTGTTTTATATCTTGCATGATGTCTCCTCTTTGATGATAAAAGAAAACTGAATGTTTGTTAATACATTTCTCTCATTCTTATAAAATTAAACAGATTATGATGGACAGTGTTTTTCTTTTACCCATAGGCAGATTTGCAATTATTTTATTTTAAACAAATGGCATCTTATATGAACTTTAAAACAAACTCTGATTTTAAACTTTAAAATAACCTGTGATTATCTCTAGTTTATAAAAATTATGCTCATATATCAAGTGACTTGCCTAAAATAACAGATTTTATTATCAATTTAATCATATTTTACAGTTTAGATGAAATAATTACTATAATTGTGGCATTCTCAAACTGTGGCAAAATTATAGAATGTACTTTATTTTTAAAATAGGTAGGCATACTAAGAAAATGGAAAATCTCAGTAATGAGTGCTGTAAGCCCTAACACTTTCAGCTGAAATATATATATAGGTTATAACACATGAACTTTGAGTAGGATAGCAATTATGAATTAAGAGACTTTAATGAAGGGATATAAATTATAAAAATATTATCATCCTTCTCATGTACAGTCTCTGGAAATTTTGGATTGTGAGTGGAAATGAAATAACATGTAAAATTGTTTTCTGACATACTGTTGGATATAATACCACTTTTTGTATATTATCTGTATGCATGGTGCCATAAGCACAGAGCTGTATACTGGTTGTGGACTTCAGCAAAAAACAGCTTACCTTCTAGGAATCATAGTTTGGTAGGGAAAAAAAAAGAAAAGTGAATTCATACATTGTGATTAAAATATGTGATTATAATGAAATGTCCAACAGGAATCAACAATTGCATTCTAAAGAGGTAACATGTAAGAGTGGTTTGTTTACTAGTAAAC